TAATTGATTATTATACATAATTTTAGATTTTGGCATTTGACTGATAATGAAGGAAATGTATTTGGACATAAGATTTGGTGTGAAATTAACGTTGAAGCCGATGACCAATCATCGAGCATGTCTTCCTCAATGATTTTCCCGGTTTTGAATTATGATCAAAAGTTATCCCAATCTGCATCCGGTTCTGTTCAATCTCCAGTTTCTACTGCCGAAGATGATGACAATGCTCCACTCCAAAATTTAGTTAAACCTATCGTTACTGAATTACAAACCGAGATCGTAGATCTCGAAAGTACTTCAGAATTAAATTCTGAACTTTTTAATTCTGATGATGATGAATCTGATACTTCATCTATTGTTTCTGATTCTTCCCAAGATTTTATTGTTGTCGATAAAGATTCTGATGATGATGAGATGGAAAATAGTTTTATAAATTCAGAGGTGAGATCCTCGCTCCCTAATTCACTTGTTATGTCTTCTTGTGGAGATAACACCAGTGTTTATGATGATTTTAAAGATGAACCGACAGAAGAATTAAAGTACCAAGAGGAAATTTCCAGATTAGCTGAAATGGTAAGTTTAAAGATCATGTTTTGAATTTACATTTACAAATTTATAATGTAATGTAATTTATTAATTATTAATGGGATTCATTAATTAATGCATTTAGGGTTTTACCGATACTGAGACAACATACAATCTTTTACTTGCCTATGACGGTAATATTGATAAAGTGATCGGCTCATATTTACGATGGGATTAATAAATTATATATGTATTTTTTTCTACTTTTGTACTTGCTACAATTTCTAGTCATGTGTTCTTCACTAAGTACTATCTAAATAAATTGATTAAATGAATTATCTTTATATTCGTGTAATTTTTGGTTTTCCGTTTATTTAATAATGTTATAAAAGTGTGTTCCTACTCGATCAAACTGTGGAATATTAATTGTCGCGTGTAAATTATATCATGTAATTAAGATTATTTGCAAAGAAAAAATTCAATGTTAATAATTTCAGGCTAACCCGTTAAAAATGAGTTATATCAATTATAAATAGACAATTACATGAATTAGTTCATGAAACAGTTTGGTAAAACTATTTCTGTTAACCAGAAAGCAAAATCCTTTTTGTTTTCGAGAAATTAGATAAAATTAGGTTATCATGCTAACTTTTCTAAAATAAAAGGGGATTTTGATTATTTCAATCCTAATAAAACTAGACTTTTTTTTTCTTTGTAGTTTTTATTTTTCTTAAAAAGTACTTTAAACTGTATATATAAAAAAATTGATTTAAACAGCCAATCATATGAAAGTCTTTCTATGAAGTTACAAACAGGGACGTGTGGATTTTGTGATTTGCTGTGATCGAAGCAAATCACAGAAAGTATGTGGTTTACTGTGATTTACTGC